AGTATAGGCTCCAACCTGGGTTGAGTGAAGCCTAGTTTTTCTCTGGTTTGCATAGCATGGTGATTAATAGGTTTATTAATTACAGGGACCTCATTAGCATGTAAGACATGTGATATTACTGTGAGGAAGATGAGGTATGCTAAGTAGTGTTTGAAGACATGGAAGTATTATCACCAGTAGACTCAGAAGTAATGGGTAAACTAGAGGAAAAGTTAGACCCATAATTAGGAGAGATAGGTGTTGTAGGGTTAGTTTTATTTGAAGTGGAGTTGGGAGATGAAATAGGTGAAATTCATAGAGGAATTAATGGAATCAGCTTGAGACATAGGTTTAGAATTGCATAAAGGTGAGGAACTGGAAGGAGAAATGGATGAGGAAATGGTGGGACCAAAGGAAAGAGGATATAAAGTGACACTAGAAGGAGAGGAAACTTGAGTGGTAGTGTTAGAAAATATCTCAGAATAGGGAAATCTAAGCTCATTGAACAAAACATCTTTGGATATATATACAATCTGCCACTAGGGTAGAGGCATCCATAGCCTTTATGAGATGTGGAATACCCAAAAAATAAACACCCATGGGATCTAAAATCAAGCATATGGGCATTATATGGCCTAAGAAGAGGAAAGCATGCACATCCAAAAACTTTAAGGAAATTATAGTCAGGTTGAACTTTAAATAACATGGTATAAGGGACTTGAAAGTTAATGGATAAGGATTGGAGCCTATTAATGAGATAGACGGCTATAAATAAAGCATAATATCAATATGCGATAAGTAAGGAAGCCTGATTTAAGAGAGTGAGACATAATTCTGTAACGTGTCTATGCTTTTTCTTAACTACACCATTCTGATGGTGAGTATGAGGGCATATAACCCTATGAATTATGCTTAGATCAGCAATAAATTTGTTGAAAGGCCTGAACTCCCCACCCCAATCAGTTTGTACAACTTTAATGGGAAAACCATGTTGAAGTTCAACCATGGTTTTAAACTGTTTGAACACAGTAAGAGCCTCACATTTAGATTTTAGAAGATAAATCCAAGTGAACTTGGAAAAATCATCAACAAATGACATGTAGTAAGAAAAACCTACAACTTATGGAGTAGGAGATGCTCCCCATAGATCACTAGAAATAAGTTCTAAAGGGTGAGTGTAATTGGAGTGTAAGGTGGGCGAGTGAAGTATATGTGCTTTATCAATACAACAATATGAGCAAAAAACACCACTCTCTTTATTATTAAAATTGATATTATAACTTTTCAAAGCCAACTTCAAGGTTTGAATGTTGGGGTGGCCTAGTCTAAAGTGCCAAACATTAGACAAAGCAAGGGAAATACAAGCATTAATAGTAGAAACTGAATTATTGGAAGACAATAGAGGAGACAAAGGCATGGACTTAATAGATGGTGATAAGCATATGGAGGGAAACTCATACAAGCCATCAATACCAACTTAACCTTCAAGCAAAATAACATCAGACAACTGAGATTTTATAAGACATTTGTCAGTTGTAAATAGAAAATAGACATGATTATCTTGACAAAACTTACTGACACTCATAAGATTTTTGGTAATAGTGGGCATAAGCATTAGATTATTTAAGGTTAGGTGAGTGTGTGGCTGAAAAGGTGAGGGGAAATAGCTAGCACCATAGGAGTGGATATGAAAGCCTTGTTCGTGTCCTATGTAGATCTGTTCAAGAACTTCATAGGGAGTGATTTGATGAAGAAGTGGGTGGCATAGTGTTTGCAATTAATGTGCTTGAAAGAGCAGTGGAATTAGGCCTTGGTTAAGCAGATGAAGGTCTAGCCCACGTATTTCGAGTGTACTTTCCATAAGAAGGTTGATTACCATACCAAGGATTTTAAGGAAAAAGATTGCCACTAAATGATGCAAGTTGAAACTGACTGTTGAACCCGTCCCAGCCATTAAGAGTAGAGTGGCCAAAATTTGAACAAAATTGACATTGAATGTTAGAATTCGAGCCTATACCACCTCTGCCTCTACCTCCGTGACCACCACAATTAGTTTTACCACCACAAAAACCTTGAAATTCAGATTCAGTGTTCTGAGACGTATCTTGTGAAGGTGGGGAATCAGTGCTTCTAGCTTGAGGTTCATCAGGCAGATTACACCGAGGTGCAACATGAGTAAGATTAAAAAACAAAATATTTAGAATAGACCACTTTCTGAACTTAGAGAGACGCAATTCATGTGCTAGGAGGAGAATCTCCACCTCATCTAGATTCATAATACCAAACCTGCTTTCAACAACAGATACGACAAGCGCATAATCAGAAGGTAAACCTTCAAGTATAACATCAATGTGATGAAAAATTGGAATAGGATCTCCAATGGATGCTAGTGCATCTATGATAGTATGAATTTTTTATAGATGCTCTTGAACCAAAAGATTATCAAACATGAGTGCACGAAGTTCAACGCTAAGATGACGAGCCCTAGCACGAGTTTTCTTTTGAAAATAATCGAATAACTTATCCCAAAGCTGATGAAAGTGCGAACATCCAAGCACACACGATAGGATCTCACTGGAAAGTGTTGATTGAAGCCGTGAGAGAAGCATTTGGTCCTTCTGCAACCAAACAAAGTATTCAGGATTTACCAAGCTTGCAGTCGCGCCTCATCATCAAGAAACTGCAACGAAATTCTAGTGCAAACAAAGAGATATGTGAGATTATGAGCGTTGATGTATGATTCAACTTGTTGACACCATAAGTGGAAGTTCTTTTCGTCCAATTTATGTGCGATCTTGAGCGAAAACTAGAGGCGGCGCAGTTTGTCAGTCGCAGTCGCCAATGATTTCTCGACGGAGAGATAAGCGGAAGACGCTGGCCAAGTGACTTCAGCCATGGATCACACCTAACTATCTGATACCATATTAGAAAGTGAAGTAGTTCGCTTCGTTGAATATAACAGAATTTTGTTATTTTGTTCAAGTTAGTTACAAACAAGTGCATCACTTTCCATTTATACTTATGCAAAGTGATGACCTACTATAGTAGGTAATAACTCGTATACTGACATCTACCAGTTCTTTTATAGCTAGACGACAAAGCCTAAACAATCCTAGCACATCTCTAATAAGATTAAGTGTACAACTATGTTGTGCTATTATGTGTACTATTGATATTGTTATATTAAATTTGTAATGAATTTTTGAAATATTTATTTTAGTAAATTGTGAACATATGATTATGTACTATGAAATTTGGTTTCATATTATTAATTTATTTAATAAATAGTTTGACCATAGGTTTAACCGGTTGAACCAATTGAATCTTAGATAAAAAATTTCACCAGTTCGGACTCCGGTCTGATTTTTAAAACATTGGTTTAACGTAAATGTTGGGGATTTGAAATATTTCTTTAAATAATAAATTATAATGACACATATGGTCTGTGGCCCTAGTGCTAAAATCTAAATGTTGCTAATATTTAAAGAATGTATCATTTGAGGAATACCTGATGAAGAATTAAGGGATGTGTGGAGATGATGAACATTGGAGGAATTTTGTTGAGGAGATTGTTGAAGTAAAGCTAATAGTGCATGTTGTTTACCAGTAGTGAAGACAATGTTTCTTGTGTTAGCGTAGTGATCTTTAGTGTTTTTTCGTTAAGTTTCTTTTGTTGTGTCATCAAAATAGGTGAATCGAGCCAAACTCACTTTCTTGAGATATGATGTGAGACCATGATTTTTGAAGCATACTTCGATTGTATGGCCTTGTTTGTGACAATATCTACAACTTTTATTCCTCTACCACGACCATATAAGTTGCCTTTGATGTTGTAATCGGTGGAACACAGAAAGTTGGGTGGTTTGTTGAAGGTAGCAATGAGTTTGTCTTCAGTAACTAATGCGGTGTATTGGCGTTCTTGTTGGATTAACAATAAAAAACTTTTATGTGGAGAAGATGGTTCATTATCATGATTTGCAATCGAAAAGGAGTATCTTGCCCATTTAAGACTTTTAGAAACCTAATTACACAGTCACCTTCCTGATATTCTTTGATGATAAGTAAAAGGCTGAAGCTATCCAGTTTCTGCCATAATTTCTTTAGGGTTATGTAAAATTGGGTGATAGATTTATTACCTTGTTTGAGGAAAAATATTTCTTCTTGAAGGTCTGAAATACCAAAGACATCTTTTTGGTGATAACGATCTCGAAGCTAATACCATATCTCGTGCGCAATATCTATCCAAATGATGCTTTGAGCTATTTCACCTTTAATCAAGTTCATCCTTCATGCCATGACCATGGTATTGCATACGTCCCAAGCTATTTAGATGCGATTTGAGTTGGCTGAACGAATTAGGGTTCCGTCAAGGAAACCTAATTTATTCTTCGATCGCACGACCACCATGATAGATCTTGACCATGAATGATAATTAAAATTGTTGAGAAAGGGGGAAACGATAACAAGACCATGATTATCGCTTAGATGCACGAAGGGGTCAAACATGCCAATTTGATAGCTTTAGGTAGGGTTTGCAGGAGTAATAATTGTTGTGATGGTATGTTTGAAGGAGATAAGGGTGTATTGATCAAAGATGCGGTGGTGTTTTCTGATTTGATGGTGATATCGAAGATAACCGTCACGTGAGATTTTGTTTCTTGTGAAGAAGAAAAAAACGAAAACAAAGAAAGAGAAAGAAAATGGAAAAATGATAAATATTTTTGTTGATGGTTGATATATAGAAAAATATCTAAAGAAACTTAAATAGCCGATTAAAACTAGATACACATGAAAGGCGATAAAATTAAAATCTTAAAAGGAAAATAATATTCAAATATTATTAATATCATCATCTAATAACATGTTGGCATATGATCCTAAATATTTGATAAATGCATTGTTTTGAAAGATAATGTTTAAAAGAAAAGATTAACAAAAAAATTTATATTATTAAAAGTAAATTGAATTTACATCAATGAGACCTCTAGATTGTGTAGTGGTCCAATTAAGTGTTGTTTAACATGAGTATCACCACTTCAAATTTCTCTCACCTTACTTTAAAGCAACTGATCAACAATGCCAAAACCATTGCTCATCTTAAACAAACCCATGCACTCTTTTTCAAACTCCTCACTCCAAAACCACCCCATCACCTTTTTGATCGTCTGCTACTTCGGGTTCTTCACTTTAGTGCTGAAAAATCCAATCTTTACTATGCCCACAAACTGTTTGATACAATGCCAAACTGCTCCAATTGCTTTCTATGGACTTCTCTCATTCGTGCATTCCTTTCCCATCAAACCCATTTTCGTCATTGCATTTCCACCTACGCAAGAATGCATCAAAATGGGATTTTTCCGTCTGAGTTCACATTCTCATCAGTCCTCAACGCATGCGGGCGTGTCCCTGCGTTGGTTGAAGGGAAACAAGTGCATGCAAGAGTGATGCAGTCAGGGTTTATTGGTAACAAGATTGTGCAAACAGCACTTCTTGATATGTATGTGAAATGTGGGCGGGTGTGTGATGCACGTGATGTGTTTGATGGAATGGTTGAGAGAGATGTTGTTGCATGGACGGCTATGATTTGTGGTTATGCCAAGGTGGGGAGGATGGTTGATGCAAGGTTGTTGTTTGATAAAATGGGGGAAAGGAATTCTTTTACTTGGACTACTATGGTCGCTGGGTATGCAAACTGTGGAGACATGAAGGCTGCCGAGGAATTGTATGCTGTCATGAGTGGCAAGGACGTGGTCACATGGGTTGCAATGATAGCTGGGTATGGGAAGTTAGGAAATGTAATTGACGCCAAAAGAATATTTGATGGGATATCAGTGCCATGGGATCCATCAATCTGTGCAGCAATGTTGGCTTGTTATGCCCAAAATGGATATGCAAAGGAAGCTATTGAGATGTATGAGAGATTGAGACGAGCAAAGATTAAAATCACTGAGGTGGCAATGGTGGGTGCAATATCAGCTTGTGCTCAACTTAGGGATATTAGAATGTCTAACTCATTATCGTACCATATCGAGGAGGGTTTCTGGGGTAGGTTCATCCTTATTGTTTTTTTTTCCTTAGGTTAAAAATGCTTCGCACTAACCTTTGTCCTTTTGTTTGGTTGGACCCTATTTCTTTTTATCTTAGGAAGGACACATATTGTTTCCAATGCATTGATCCACATGCACTCGAAGTGTGGAAGTATAGACTTAGCATGGAGGGAGTTTAGTATGATGAGATACAGAGATTTGTATACTTACAGTGCAATGGTTGCAGCTTTTGCGGAGCATGGGAAATCACAAGATGCTATTGATCTTTTCTTAAAGATGAAGCAGGAAGGTTTAAAACCAAACCAAGTTACATTTGTTGGGGTCCTCAATGCATGTAGTGCTTCAGGTCTAATTGAAGAAGGTTGTCGGTTTTTCCAGATTATGACTGAGGTTTATGGTATTGAGCCCTTACCTCAGCACTATACTTGCATGGTTGATCTTCTAGGTAGGGCCGGCCAATTGGAAAAAGCATACAGTCTTATAAAGGAGAACTCGGCTAGTGCTGATGCAATAACTTGGGGTTCTTTATTAGCAGCTTGCCGAGTTTATGGAAATATGGAATTGGGTGAGATTGCTGCCAGACATCTCTTTGAGATTGACCCTACGGATTCTGGAAATTATGTTCTTCTAGCAAATACTTATGCAGCAAATGATAAATGGGAGCCTGCAGAAGAAGTTAAGAAGTTGATAAGTAAAAAAGGAATGAAAAAACCATCAGGGTATAGTTGGATACAGAGAGAGATCAAAGGACAGTATCAAGAAGAAGCACATTGCTTGTTAGTTTCAACCAGTTAGATATATTCTTCTATGTCTTCCCAATTACTTTCTGTCTTGACGAGCACTGCACGTCTAATGTTGTTGCCTACTTGCCTGTATGTTAAACGTTTTTCACTGATTGTGGCATGTGCTTTATTTTCTGGACCATCATATCATGAAGCCATTAAGAAAGGTCTGCCAATCAATCTGATGATAGGAACCAGCTCCGTGTTTCTGTTTTGGAATTGTATTGTGCTCAAAAAGCAGAAAATAAATATTCTATTGTGCAGAATTGATATAATGAAGATGAGGATGGGAACGAGGAGATGTAGAGTTTCCCATAAGAAGAGCCTCTCTGCTGGGGCCTGTGGTATACCTTAAGATATACCGGACACAAGTGAATACTGTATCCTTGATTACTTGATACTTTCTGAGTGTTAAACCTTTGCAGAATTGCATGTGGAAGGCTGCTTTGAACATGGCTTTGGAGGTCCTTGGTATGAGTTTCCCATTCCACGTAAATGACGGCCATTGTAATAATGCGATATGTGATTGGCATGGTCTTATCCTTGTTACCAGCGATTGGCACTGGCAGGTGTTATGATTGATCTGCAATTGACTTTATTTGGATACCTTTGTTCTTAATGAGAGAATGTCTTGTAGTTCAAGAGTGGAACTCGGACCGTCTACTTCATCAAGCATTTGGCAGCAAATTTTCACGCGTAAAATTGATTCCTGTTGGCTTGGTTAAAAAACTTTGCACAACACTACACCGTTGGAGAGCATCCAGGTCTTCTTAAGGGTTTGCATTGTCAGGTACTTGGTTTATTTATATTATTCCGTTTGTCTCTATTAACTTTTAAGCGATGTTTTCCAAAAGAACTTTTTATTCTATTTACCTAGAACTTCAAGATTTTACAACAACAACATCAATTGTAAGGAGGGGAAAACTTGCATGGATTTTCATTTTATGGTCATCTTTCTATGTAAACTTTGTCGGATTTGTCAGATGGACATACAACGTGAATGTGATAAGTTGTTTTTCTGGGTAGAAATTGGGTATACTCTGCGCACAATTGCAGACTAATCCCTCGAGCCGGGTAGTAGTACCACAATGGGTGGTAAAACTCTCCACAAAAAGAATTTAACACTGCTGCGTGCTCTTGGGTAATGTGATAAGTTGTTAGTATGTGTTCCAATTGCTCTTGGGTAATGTGATAAGTTGTTAGTATGAGCTATGGTTATTCATATGGAACTATATTATTTTTAATAAAAAATAAATAAAGCGAAGCAAAAGATGAAGGCAGAAGTATTCCAACTAAGTTGGCAGCCTGCATCAACACCCATACTGCTAAATTCTAACTGAGTATTATTAAAAGAAAATTAAAAAAGAATAAATTTGAGAGATTAGGCCAAAACTAACCACAATGCAGATTAAAATAATTGGCCAACTGTCTCATTAAAATTTTTATTAGGAAGAACCCAATGGGATAAAACCTTGATGAAGAGAATAAAATGCAATTTGAATAAAAATAATAATAATTGCTTAAATCTAAACTCCAAAAGACCAAACTTATTACAAGTCATATAAAACACAAGATGGCACATATTTGTTATAAGAATGTATACTAAGTTGCATCAAAATTTGATAGTTAATTTGCTTCTGGTAGTCACATCTAGGTTTGAATCCTTTTTGAAAGGATGCCCTTGTTGATGCTTTCCTCCAAACCGGGTGAGAAAGTAGTTAATATTAATCAAATTGCCATGTCAACTAGGTCTATCTTAACAAGTGCCTCAAGAAAACTGTTTAAAGAATCTATAAATATATAATTTTTAATATAAAAATGACATCTTCAAATATCTTAATCAATGTCTTAAAGACACTTGTTAGCATTATTATAATTTAATTCTCTTGGTCAGAATTACTTGTAGCAATATGAATAACTATATTCATTTTTCTATTTCTCTTGTGATCTTTCTCACCAAATTATTAGTTTAATTCAGTCTTTTTTTCTCTCTAGAATGACACAACTCGCTTTAGAATGATTCCATTCACACATGGCCTATTAGTATTGAGCCGGCTGCCAAGAAACATCATCTTTTTTTAACCATGCTTTTGTTTCTTTCCATATTAATATTATATATGAGTCTTTTGTAGTAGTTGGTATTATCTTAAAAATAAAAAATTGTAAAAAATATGTTAAAAAATATGTTAAAAAATTGGCAACTAGTTAGCCATCCATCATGAAGTAAGTTGGCATGCATGTCTCTTTCATGTTTGGTTTGCAAACAATGAAAGATACAGTTTGAAGATGAATAGAAAACCTAGGATCAATGAATTTCTCTAAGTTATATTTGAGTTTTTAATTAGTGTAATTTCATATTTATTAGAGTTTGACTTAACTCAATCTTACAAAACTGACTTGTAAAGGTGATGTGTCATTCTATATAAACTCTTTTAAAACTTTGTCCGTGACCCAAACTTGTGATTTTCCTAATAATTTTACTTTAAGTTAGCATATCCTTATTTTGACCAAGTCTATGTGTATCTAAACAAATCTTTTTACAGAGAATTTGAGTTGTATGTTTCAACGTCTAACTTTGGACTTTGCACCAAAATGATATTTTAAAATTTGAAACACTTGAGTTGGTTTTGGTTTGAACTCTTCTTGCTTTTGTTTTTTTATTCAATTTCAGTTGATTCATACATTCAAATCTCATTGTAAAAATCACCATTTTTTAGTTTGCTTTTGCCATAAGCTAAAGAAAGGTGTTGCTCCCAAAGAACGTTATATTAATAAAGATATTTGAAACTCCAACAAACATAGAAAGAGTAAAACATAATTAAACAATAAATACCAATATGAAGAAATAGAAAGTGATACAATGTATATAACACACACAAAAAACACACCCCTAAAAGTAAGTATCCTGTGAAAGAATTACCTCAAAAGCCAAAACTGAGACTCTTAAAGAAGAAGCTGAAGTACCCAAAATATACAAAGGGGGTATAAAAGTAATAAAAAGACAAAAAAATAACAAAAAAATTCAATATAATCTTTCTACACATGATTCCTACACCTAGAGGGTAGAAGAACCATATGGTCCAGGTCCATATCCATTAGCACCATTAACACCATGTGAAGTTTTGTTCTCTACTTGCTTCCTCTTCAAAACTATCATCCAAGTGTAAGCTTCTAAAAAGACAGCAATACCCCCCAAAGCACCAATAATTCCAATGTAAGCATGTTTCCAGTTCTTGTAACGGTCCCCTACAGAATCTCCCAAAGCTTCAAACCCTTTAAAAACATTCGCAATGCTAAGGCTTATGGTTACATATCCAATAACATGATGGTAGATATTCCAGTAGAGTCTAAATTTATGATCTTTGTTTGGCCTCAAAAACAGAGCAAATACTTGAAGAGTTGCGAGCGTTACAAGAACAATAGCAATTGCTCTATGTGTGTCGTATTCAATACCCTCTGAGTCATGACCGAGTTTGAGACCAGTTCCAAATCCAGATAACCCAATTATGTAAGCTGAAACTTGACATGTTATGTGAAGATAGAACCATGCTGGGTCTGCTGATTTGAATACCTTCAAATATCTCGCTATTACTGCACCGGTTGGCATCAAGATTCCCCAGCTTATTGCGTTTAGTACTCCATGTGTCTGAAAATTAAGAAGAATTATAATTTAGATTAAAAAATCAGCTAGTCAAACAGGAATCATATCGAACTATAAAACATTGACACAAACACATAATACGATGTAAAAATTCTTATAAGTTAGCATCTATCAATTGAATCCTTAAAACATTAGGTACTTACATTTCTTCTTCTTTGACGTGAACCGATCCCACTTACAGCTTGGGAGGTACCAGAAACAAGATCCAAGAGTTCTCTAGAGTTTTGATGGGAAGATTCATGGCTATGTTCTTGAGGAGAACCAGAAGAAGTTAGAACCCCATCTTGCCATACATGAACCAACGAGGTAGTACCATTTGGAAGAGTCAAAGTAGCAAAAATAGTAACCTCACTATTTTGGTACGTCGCAGAAAAACCAGAAATAGGATAACTAATGGTTCCTTCTTGCAACGTTGTGAGTGTGTTTGCAATTGATGAAGTATAAGCCTTTGGGCTTCCATTAGCTTGTGGAATAGCAACCAAAGCTTGAGCTCCAACCATAGCCGGGTCGATAGTGTTGCTGGGGTTGATAGCCCAAGCAACCCACCTATTTGTTGAAGTGATTCCAACATGTCTGAATGCTATGTCTAGTTTACCACTGGGTTGATCGTATGACCAGTGGAGGTACGAGGTTAATTGTGGAAGATCACGACATGTTGTGAACACTTTGTTGTTTGAGAATGTTTGGTTTTTACATGTTTGAGCTGAAGATGTCAAAAACACACTGCTTAAAACACATAAGGCCAAAGTGAGTCTCAACATGTCACCCATTTACATGAAACTAATGATCCTTATTCTTCCTTTGTGTGGATTCTGTTATGGGTTGATCTTGAAACTGTAGAAGAAATTTGTGATATTCTACCAATGTCTTTGAGAACTAGCTCAAAGAGTTTTTTGTTTTGTTTTTCTCTTGTTGTGATGTAAATAAATAAGTGTTATAGTTGAATAGAATATGAGAGGGATAGAGAAGGGAGGTTCAATTATTTATAAAGAGTTGGTGGGGTTTGGTTGTTGATGTGGAATGATGGCGGAAAGGAGGGATAATAATATTATACAATTTTTTGAAGAAAAAATTTACAAATCTTATTTTATATGTAAAGAGGAAATTGTCAAAAAAAGTACATGTAAGAAGGAAATTGTACAATTTTTGAATGATTAGCATAGTACTATTGAATAATAGTACAACCACTAATCATAAAAGAAACATACTTTATTTATTTATTAGTTTAGCAATGAAAATTTTATTTTTTAAAGATGAATAATGAGATATCACATATTTGAATTTGTGTTTGTGCAGTTAAATGTTCCTGCACAACTACCAATAACATATTTGGTTTAGCGTGGTGAAAAAAACTATACCAAACATTTTATAAGGGAGTTTATTTGTTCTTGACAAAACAATAAACTTTTGATGCTGTAGTATTAACTAATCTCTAAAGAACTGCTTAACATTAGTTGTTTGATAAATTTTATTAAATTGTTCTACTAGAAGCATAAGCTTTTACTAGCTGATTTATCTTTTTAACACAATTTCAGTCTTTTTTGAGAATTTGGCTATAATTAAATAAAAAAAGAGCAATAACAATTGTATAAATTTAGTAAATAAAAAATGTTTTTATACAGCTGAATAGAATAAATAATTAAAACTAATGTACGGGCCATTTAAGTATCGAGTGAATAAAAAAATAGATTAACTTTTAAAATTGTAGGCATAGTTGAAAATAATTCTTTAATTTTATAAATTGGCAAGTATGTTTCGGAAGTCACTCAAACTAATTCTTCATGTTAAAATATGATTAAATTATATATTTTTCTGTTTATTTAGTTTGTTATTTTATCAGTTTTATTAGAGATAATTTAGGTGTTACTTATTTTTATCTCTTTGTAATTCAATTAGACCACTTAAAAGTTAAGTTAATAATAATAATTTTATTTTAGATTAGGTGGTCTCATTTTAGATAAATGGCTATGAATTAGATTAGGGGGTATCAGTTCTCTTCTCAAGAAAACATGCTTTAAATGTAGAGGGAGCTATTTCACTTTAAGGATATTGAAAATTTTGAGCTTTTGTTGCCACTAAAACACTTGACTAAAGGGTACTCAAATATTCATTTTTTTCATGGTACCTTCTCACTATAAAATGTTTCTACTTGATACTCATATTTTTGACTTTTCTTTTATCTTGTCCTTCAATCCTGTTAATAGAATTTTCCATAACATATTCAATAAGCAACAAAAGTGATTCTTTAGGGATAATTTCTTCACCTATATCTTCAACTATAACATTGAGAATTTTATTACGATGACGCATCGCCTCAAACACATTAAGAGTCACCTTTTCATTTTGAAATCTCAATATAAGTTCACTTAACTCTACATCAATCAAAATTCCATCGATTCTTAAAAATGTCTTTTAAGAATTAGAGGTATTTTTGCATCTTCTTAATGTCTAGAATAACAAAATCAATTGAAAATAACGTATCATCCACTTTAACCAACACATATTCAAATACACTCTAATTGAAGTGTTGCGGATTCAAATTCACCGTTGCTACATCTAATGTCTTTGTATAATTGACGGAAAAAATATCTTATTCTTTTAAGTTACAATAAACACACAATTTATGTTATATTTTATTATATTTTGATAGTGTTTTTGAATTATCTGTACAATTTTTTTACTTTTGATAAATTATTAATTATTCTTTGTATGCTAAAATAATATTTTTATGTTAAATTTAATTGATATGCATCAACAATATAAATAAATTTTATTAGATCAATTAATCGTAACAATTAAATTTTTATTAATATTTAACTTTTATTTATTCATCAATAAAGTAACAATGTGAATAATTGTGATTCACTTGTCTTGTCGCGTAAAAAGAAAAATTACACCTCAATACATAATAGTTAATCTATTTTATATTTTAATATATTCATTTGACTCTAAAATATAAATATCAATTCTAATAAAATCTTGAAATTTTTATTGTTATGTCTTAAAGTTTTAAGATTTTATCGAAATATTTACAACTATTTTTTAGTTTTTAATGTTATTTATAATTTTTAAATTTTAGTTCAAATTTTTTGTATAAATTTTAATATTATTTTTAATTAAACATTTAAAATTTCATCATACAATTATATAATTTATTATTAAATTTTTATAATTAAATATAATTTATTATCATTTGTGGAAGCAGATCTTCAATAAGTGTTTTTGTGTAATATTCTGTAACCCAGTAAATTGATTTGATTTGATTGTATCGATGTCAATATAAAATTCACTCCTTGATACATTTACACATTTTCAGGTATCTAATTCTTTTAGTTTTCCATGTGACGACCGCCATTTTCTCTTTGAGTTTGACACAGTGATCTTCTCCTCTCTTTTTGAAACAAAAGAAAAGAAAATCTATAAATTAATTGTTTAGTTTTTTATTAGAACTCGAGTTCTTTATTATTTGTTCAGAACTTCTAAAAAGTTGAGACTGACTCTGATTCTAACATAATGATATCGTAATATCTTAATGTTGAATTAAACTCCAAAACCAATTAGTACTACTAATTAAACTCTTGATTCAACACATGATCAAATTATTATAGATCAAAAGACATTAGCGTGTAGTAAGTAACTAAGTGCTTGATATTTTCTTCATAGTATTATGTTTTGGTCAAATTATTAAGTTATTAATGATTAAAATATATAGCACACTACACCCTAATTTCATTGAACAGATACATCCAATTTTACTTGGCAATTTCCATCAATTGTTATTGTTTCGTTTTACGCTGTCGTTTTTGTTCTTCTAGAGTTGAATATATGCTCATGGACTTTAAGAACGAGTCATTCTTGGTAGTTGGTATAACATATATAGCCGCATTTATACGAAGTTCAAACACGTCTTAAAAATGAAAAAAAAAAAAAACTTTTAACACATTTTTTAAACACGTCTTAGTCTCACCAAATTCTGGAATGTAAATATAGCATGTAAATTTGTTAAAACTTGGATAAATTTTAATGAAATAATAAAATATGTTGTTAGTAAATGTACATTTCAGGATTTTTTATGAGGCCAAATAACGAGTTTCGTGCACATCTCAGTGATTTTTGCCTGATTTTTGAAAAATCATCAAAATACATTACAATATCTTAAGATTGGCTATGAAGGTTCAATGAAAGACAATAAATTGGAGGAAGGGGTGTTGAATTGAGTTTTTTTTTGTTTTTTTTTTATCACACACCAGTGTTGAATTGAGTTTCTAAAATAAAAATCTTTTGGAACACCTAAATTTCAAACAACTCTCATACATATTGTAAAGTCCAATTTAAAAATTATGTATTTATTTACGAATATTTTGTGATTGATTGTGTTTGTTAGATTATTGGTGGAAGTGTAAGTTTTTGCGATAGAAAATAATCTAGATTAATTAAATAATAGTTTTATATTGTTAATAATTAAAATAATAAGGAAAATAAAATAAATTAGAGTGTGTAGAGATGTTAAGGACATTGAAGTAATTGCATGAGGTTAAGTTGAGGGTGAATGAGGGAAAATTGATTTTTGAAAAATATTGACTTATTGTTGACTGAAATTTCGCCGGTACATAATCTGGAAGAAATAAGAGGATGTCGAAGAAAGTGTAATTTTTAAAAGAGGGAATGTAGAAGGTATATATATGGTTTTCGACGGACTGACTAAATAAGGATTAAAAAATTAGTGAAAGTCTTATTATTATGAAACACATAAGACTTAAAGAGATTGCAAGTTTCAAATTCAAATAATTCGACAGACCGTATCATGATGTTTGGCGTTTTGGATTGAAGGCTGATTTGAATTCAAATGCTTTGTTCTTATCCAGAAGGACGTGTGGAAGCCTGAGGTTTTGAGGAAGCATGCAGCGTCAAATGTGGTACTTCTATAGTGAAAGACCGTTATGGTCGAAGTAGTATAAATTAGGATCTTAATGCTGGGTTTTAGTGTGTCCACTGTTGTACAAGTTACTCATAAAACTTGAAGTACCAGTGTTTAGAGAAAAAAGTCTTTGAGAATGTACGTATGAATCACCATATTTTAATTAATTGTTAGTTTATATTTACCAGAATCTCTTTCATTCATTTTACTTTTAAGTCGAAGTCTTTTTACTTTCCTATAGTCACTTTACATAGAATTTCCGTCCTTTACACTTTAACCATAACCTTCGAAAAGATGAACATTCGAAAGATATAAATCCACAAAACATAACACATATTCTAGGATCAATCTAGTAGATCCTATAAGTTACAAGAATTTCTAGAATTCGAAAGACTAGTAGTTGTTTATCAATTTTCACGGTAAATAAATTGGCATGCCCAGTGGGACAGTGTCGTGTTCGTGTCACAAATTTTGTATTTTGTGATTTATTTTAGTCTATCTTGTTTGACATTGTTGTATGAGATTGAGGAGTGGAAAATTAGCCAAAAATAATAAACAAATTCCAAAACAAAATATACTAGGAAGATGGTTAACCCACCACCCAATAACGATGGAGAACAACCACCCCCATCGACAGGGGAAAGTATGACTGCATTATCTGCAACCGAGTTAATACATGTGTAAGCGAATACAATGGGAACATTGACAAACACTTTCAGCGGTGCAATCCTGTCCCCATTGCAGTCACAGGGTTCCCCAGTGAACACAAGGCCACTAGGGGTGAATAATTTAAGGCATTTTACATATGGATTCACAATACTAATGGATGGCCGCTGTGATACGGTGGCAGAA